CCCCAAAACCCCAAAACCCCAAAACCCCAAAACCCCAAAACCCCTCATGAAATTATAAGAATTTTATTGCCATTAGTAATATATAATTATTTACAAATAAAACATCACAAACTATAAAATGGGAGTCATGGATAAGTCACCAGCACTTGGTAATGGCCAAAGTGTCTCTGCCTAAGTTAAATAAGCCTACAAAGAAAACAAGAAGATTGTATGATTATTGCTATCCATAATTTGATACTTTAATGCGAAGAAGTTATTAATAAATATATATAGGTTAACAATCTCGGGTATGCATTTATATTAATGGCAATATTAAAGGGTTCAGCTCTTTATCTATAAGCTTAAGAACAGAAAAAATGAGACTAAAGAGGAATTGATTAGATTTGCTTCGGTAAAAGATATCAAGTATATCTGCATAAGACTGATGAATAGATATATAAGTTTAATTGATTGTATAAAATAAAGTTATTCAAACTTTCTTGTTAAGATCTCATCACTTGGATAATAAGCTGAATTTTATGATATTTAGCTCTAATTATCTGCTTCTCATTGAACTATTTATACTTTCAATAGTAACCCTAGTTTGGTGGATATTGCTAAACTTGTGGATAGGTACCTGGATATTGCTGCTGATACTGCTATTGCTACTATTGGTTGATAGATTGATTATACTGTGGGTACTATTAGTTGTAATTTTACTGATTTTACTAATCCACATATCCAGCAGGCAATTACTGTTGATATAATGAAGGATTTTAAACGACACTAGGGTTGTAGCCTTAATTAAAGTTCGTATTTTCAAATTGAGTTTGAACTTGAGGGTATAACTGCTATGCTGATTAATTAACATTAGCTGGACCATTAAGACTTGAATTTATTCCATCTTTCTTATTCTTTACTTTCTTACCAGTGTGAACATTATTACCGTGATTTTTGTGCTTACCATCATCGCTGCTATCGCTACTACTGCTATGTTTAGATTTATGTGTATTCTTCTTGCTTCCGTGACTCACATTAGAACCAGCATTTCTAATAGGATCATCGATAACTCTTCCTTTTTTTGCGTTTGGATATTTATCAATAAATGAATTAGGATACGATACAATGCTACCCCCATTCCCATATTATTGACCTTAGTTTTAATATGCTTATTGATATTAGTTAGCGTATGTTTAAGGATTTTAATTGTAACCATAATTGTAAAATCCAAGTTAGCTGTATGGATCGTAGTAATTTGCTGCGTAATTTACATTTTATTGATATTAAGAGGCATTATACTGTTACTAGTATTAGAATGCAGTGATTCCTCTCTTATAATCAGCCTTTGAATAATCATGCGAGTGCCTCATAACTGTTGGTCTATGATGATGTCCTCCACTTACTCTATGATGCATACTTTGACTGAATCCTCCCATAAATCCTCCTACTTGCTGAATTGGAGTGATGTGTTATTTTTGCATAGCTATAATTTATGCTTCTTTTTTATTTGTATAGTTTCTTATAGCATCGAATAGAGATGCATTAGCAATATTTTGTTTGTGTCTTTGAAGTTAATCTTAGGCTTCTGCTGATTTCTCAGTTAGCATTTTATGTTCCAAAAGTCGTACGAAAGCTTCGTTCTTTGTAACTGGGTTTTCTCTATCATAATCAGTTGGGAACTTTGAATAAAAATCATTATATTTTTCAGAAGTAGGCTGTTCTCCAAGGTTCTCTAGACATTTATTGATTAAAGTCCTAACTGGCAGTAATATAAAGAGGGAACAAGTTGCAATGATAGCATAAGGAACTATCAGTTTACCTTGAGTTTCACCCTTATAGAAATCTTTGTAGAGAGTTCTGTAGAATAGTAAAAGATTGAGTGACCACAAGAACGCGAAATATGGTAATAAGTTAGCTATAAACTTAGCCATTAGACCAGACATTTGCTCAGGAAGTTTATGTCTCCTTAATAAGAGAGTCTTATCGATCCAATATGAGAAGAAGCATCCACATAGAGCAATAGGAATTGATACTGGCAGCAATGGGTGAAAGAAAACTGCTGTTAAAAACAGATTAGCAGTATTAGAATATCTATTAGCCATATCCAATGGAGGACCCTCCCATAAATTATTAGCATCTTCTTATGTAAGAACACTGTTGGCACCAGCTCTTCTTGCAAAGAATCTTTTGATAACTCTTATCAAATAAAAGACATCAAAAAGATAGAGTAAAGGATCAAGGAATGAAATAGAGATCATAATATAGAATATATCTGAAATTAAACCACCGTCAACGAACCATCTGTTTACAGAAATATTAACCACAATAGGTACGATTGAAGTATTGATAAATCTTGCCAAGGTAAGTTTAAAAGCGACTGATAAATTATACGCGGTATAAGTTTCATGTCTTTCCATTTAAGAGAAGGCTCTAACTACACCCCTCAGACATATATTGATAAAGACAACAATAAAAGAGCAGAGGATTGATAAGAATCTAATCGTTGAGTATGGAATACTATCTTATTAATCGTTAAGCTTATCTTTACCTTTGTTTATGCCATATATAATACCAAAGCATGCTCCTATTAATAGAATCGTTGCAATATATGTCAAGAAAATATACCTCACTCTTCTGAAAAAAGAAACACTTAAATTATCCCAGTAGACATCAGTCGGCTCTGGAGCTCTCTCAAACCTATTATTTCTAGAAACATTTTCCTTATTTTAGCAGCATGAGCAGAATAAATGATTGATCCATGAGAATATAAGTGAAAATAATGAGTCATCTTAAAGATTGATCATAAGTTACAAATCTTTTTAGCTTTCCAAAATTATAAAAGCTGTCCCAATATATAACTCTTCTTTGGTACCTGGTGCCAAATTAGCATCAAATTCAGTCATTTAATCTGAAACTTCTTAAATCTGCTTATTTATTTATTCTAAAGTTATGGTTTCACTTTTGCATAGTCCAGTTTTTATTCTCAAGGGAGGCACAGCTATAGTTTTGTTTGACATTAAGTCTTACCTAGTGAGATTGTTATTCTTCAGAAATTTCTTTAAATGCAACTTAAACATCGCTTTATACCTTGATAATTATATCAATTACTTGTTGCACTGGCACATCTTCTCAATATTGTAGGCATAATTTACATAAGCCACCTTTATATTGTATTTTGAGTATTAGTTTTCAAACTTGGCCTTTAATTAATCCTATGTAATATTCTAAGGCAAATGCCTTGCTATTAATGTGAAATCAGAAGGAGATATTTAGTCCTCATCCAACTCTTAGTTAAGCTTAATGAGCATTCTTCTGAGATAGATAGAATGAATAAGCAAGTAAATGATTCCAACGGCATTAAGGTATAAAATTATATCTGCAAGGAGAATGAGATTATCATCATCAAATAGTTCTTTAATTAGAAACACATTTCCAATTGAAACTTTGGACATATAAGGATAGTAATCAGAAGTGTAACCTCGGTTTTTTAAAATCTAAACACCTGCTATTATTGAGCAGGGTATTCCGCAGAGAATACTGAGTATGAACAATAACCAAGCAAAGTTTTTCTTTAAAGCATAATACATGGGATAACCAGCACCTAAAGATTTTAGGTCCTTTAAATCTGAGCATAAAGGGTATTCAGAACCAGCCTATTTTTATTTAATTTGATAAGGAATATTACAACTGGGATGGGCAGACCACAGCAGATACAGAATGAGTCTGGATTTTGAAGATCAAAGTTTATCTTCTCAAGATTTACTACTTAGTTTGCTTGCTAAATGGAAAATCTTTAAATAGGCATAAAATTACTCCATGTATTTCTGCTTTTGAGATGTCTGGAGGAACTTGTCTCAGAAATTGAGTAATGGGGTCTTTCTGTTGTTTTAACATATTTAGTTAATTTTGATTCTCCTCTGTATTATTTGAAGTGAACTTATTGTCTGTGTCTTCTTTTTAATCTTACAAGATTTTATTCATCTCCATTCTTTCTGCCATTTTCATCGCTGTTTTAGTTCTGTTTAAATTCCGATCTTTATCATTCTCATGCTGTTACTAACTTGCTGGAGGCTAAGTATAATCAAGCTAAAAATTAAACTCACATAATTTACAGCAGAATTAATGCTATCAATCTACATATGTTCATTAGGGCTGTTATCATTTTTATTGATAGGTTTCTCCTCGGTATAAGCGTTATTTTTCATCTTTTTATAAACAAATATAATTAAACTTTAAATATAAATAATAGCACAGCAAATTTAATGCCGAAAAAATCCCAATAGGAAGAAACGAGAGATGAGATCAAAGCCTTCACTACAAAAGAGGATCTCATTCAGTCATTTATAGAACAGACATTCAGAGTACTAGATATGGATAGAGCAGGAACATTCACAAGAGACGACTTAATTCATTTTCTTGGATTTTTCGTTGCTGAGTGCAACTTAATGAAAATAAATGAAGCCTCTCTAGATCAAATTCTAATTAAAAAAGTGGGAGTAAAAGATCTTTTCAAGATAAATTCAAAACAACTTGATTAAACAATTAGGATAATACTTGAGGAATAGCTAAATTAATTTAATCGTGTATTGTGACCATAATAGAAAAATGAAGATAAATAATTTTATTGCATTGAATTCATTATTAATAATTATTTCGATATTTTTATAATTATTCCAGGTGGGGTTTTGGGGTTTTGGGGTTTTGGGG